TCAGGCAATCCACTCACCTCAGCCTCCCAAGGCGCAGGATTACAGGCTGAGCCACCAAGCCCAGCTTATACTTATCTTTTTAAAAATTTGCTACAAAATGACATCGACCGGCATAGTGTGGTTATAAGCCTAGATACATAAATCAGCACCATAGAATTCGGTGTTCAAAAGTAAAATGTATGGCCAATGACTTTTGAGAAAGGTTTCAAAACAGTTCTGTGTGAGAAAAATTGTCTTTTCAACAAAAGTTGCTACAACTGAGTGTCCAGATACAAGAGAATGAGATTGAAATCCTTCCCTACACCATATGCAAAAGAAACTTGACATGTATTACAGACCTAAACTATAAAACTCATAGATGAAAACATAGAATTAAATCTTCATGACCAAATTTATAGGTATGACAACAAAAGCACAAGGGACAAAAAAATATAAATTGGAATTTATTAAAATTAGAACTGTTTTTGCTGCTAACAGTGCAATCAATGAATTTATAAGAAAATTCATACAATGGGAGAAATATTTGTAAATCATATCTAATAATGAACTTGCATCAGAATATACCAAGGATTCTTACTGCTCAACAATAAAAGGGCAAAGAACTCAATAAAAAATGAGCAAACAAGGCTAGGCTCGGTGGCTCAGCCTGTAATCCCAGCATTTTGGGAGGCCGAGGTGAGTGGATTGCCTGAGTCTGCGGGTTCGAGACCAGCCTGGGTAATTTAGCGAGACCGCGTCTCTACAGTAAATCAAAAATTAGCTGGGTGTGGTAGCACATACCTGTAGTTCAGGCTACTTGGATGATTGAGGTGGAAGGATTGCTGGGGCCCAGCAGAGCGATGCTGGGGTGGCGATGAGTTGTGCCACGGCACTTCAGCCTGGACAACAGAATAAGACTCCAATTCAAAAACAAAAAGAGCAAAGGATCTGAATAGACATTTCTCCAAAGATGGTATTCAGATGACCAATAAGTATATAAGATGCTCACATCATTAGTCATTAGGAAAATATAGATCTAAACAATTGGTACCACTTCTCATCTGGTAGAACAGAGGTAATAAAAAAGATAATAAAAAGGTTAATTACTATATGTATGATCAGAATCCTCATATATTGGTTTTGGGAATACACATGGTGTCACTGCTTTGGAAAATGTTTTGGCACTTTCTCAAAATGTTAAGCATAGCTAAACACACGATCCAGAAATTCTACTCATAAGCATATATGTAAGCGAGATGAACGTGTGTACATACAACAGTCAAAAAGGAGCCCAAATGTTTATCAACTGTTGGGTAGATAAATAAAATTTAGTGTGTCCATACAATGGATGTCATTTGCCAGTAAAACGGAAGAAAGTACTGATATGTGCTGCAATGTGGATGAACTTTGAAAACTAGGAGAAACAAGTCAGTCGCCGAAAAACTACATATTATATGAAGTGTCCAGAATAGGTACATCTATAGGGACAAAAAGTAGTATAGTGATACCCTAGGGTCAGAGACAAGTGAGAGAGGGGGATTGCATGTTTATGGGCAACCTTTTTGGGTCAGTTGCCTTGGTGGTGATTCACAGCTGTGAATAGAAACCATTGCATTTTACGTGTTAAGTGTGTGAGTTGCATAGTATGTGAATTATATCTCGATAAAAGTGTTTAGAAAGAAATTGATGTGACTGCAATTGATAGGAAGCAACTAAAAGTGAGCTGCAGATTTATAGTTGGTAAATGATGCAAGAAAGGTCAGGTATGATGGCTTATGCCTGTCATCCTGGTACTTCAGAAGCCCGAGGCAGGAGGATTGCTTGAGCCCAGGAGTTCGAGACCAGCCTGGGCAACATAGTGAGGCCTCGTCTCCACAGAAAGTAAAAATAATGAGCCAGGAGTGTTGGTGCATACTTGTAGTTCCAGATACTCAGGAGGCTAGGGCAGGAGGATTGCTTGAGCCTAGGAGGTCGGCACTGTGGTGAGCTGCAGTTGTGCTGCTGCACTGGAGTCTGGGTGACAGAGACCCTGACTTCAAGACAAAACTTGTGTAGCACTTGCCTACTGTGTTGCTTTTAAATTAGAAGGTTGCCTGAACATTACATTAAAGGAAATTGAAGTGTGGATACTTTGTTCAGTGTCTGACTTGAAGTGATTGAATTAGTGATAAGGAGTTAAGTACAGTTTATGCTATATAATTTCTGGTTTTTGTTTTTTTTTTTTGGAGTCTCACTCTGTCACCCACACTGGAGTGCAGTGGCCCGCTCCCGGCCACCGCCGCCTCAACCTGCTGGGCTCCGGCGATCCTTCCGCCTCAGCCTTCCAAGTAGCCGGAATTACAGGCATGCGCTACCACACCCGGCTGATTTTTTTATTTATTGTAGAGATGAAGTCTCGCTGCCCAGGCGGGTCTCGAACCCGCAGGCTCAGGCAATCCACTCACCTCAGTCTCCCAAAGGCGCACGCGGGATTACAGGCTGAGTCACCGAGCCCGGCTAATTTCTGATTTTTAGTACTTAAAATATTTTTTAAAAATTTACCACAATATAGCAAACTTACTGTATCATATGTAGAAATGTTAAAAGGATTTTTATTTTAGTTTGTGCCAGTGAATTCTTCATAGTATTCTATTTGCAGTATATAATTGATGCTAAATGTTTCTGCAGAATACACACCTTGGTTGTACTTTTGACACACTTCTTAGGATGGGAAATCATAGAAAGCTGGTTGCAAATGTTACCGGGCATATTTAAAATCTTTGAGGAAATCATCTATGCATTATAACATGCCTTCAGTTGGTTTTCCTTATGCCAGAATATGTCCCAATGTCTTATTTAGTGCACTTTTAAGTTTTTCATGATGGAAGTCAGTGCATGAGTTCATGCACTGCAGTGACTTAAAGTCAATTATATGCACTAGAATTTATTCTTTAAACTTACACCTGCACTTTGCTTTTTTTTTTTATACTCTTACTTTCCATTATTGTCAGATACAAGATTGAAATAAGTGCAAAGTATTATCGAGACAGTCGGTGCTTGTGCAGTCAAGGTGCATAGGCTGGGAGTCTCTAGGATGAGTTTAGTGCAGCTTGTTGGAACCTTTTGAACAGAGAAATTTTTTGCTCCATGTTTTATATTGCAAATATGTTCAGTGTAAAAAATATATATATATGAAATATAACAAAACATACTGAAGTTCTTACCTGGGGAACATTCAATACATTCTGTTTTTCAGTTGTTTTTTCTAGTGCTACTTTTGACCTGTTAATCAATTTCACAACTCACTGAAAGTTTGAGAGCCACAGTTTGTAAAATAGTAATCTTAGGGACAGAGTTATGAACTTAGATGTACTCTGAGTTTCCTTTCCTAAAGGCCCCTTAAAAATGTTTGTGTCTTATGTCTTTTAAAAACTGATCTCATGCTACAGGGACAACTTGATCCTCAAATAAGATTTGGAGTTTAAGAACAGGGATTTTTTTCTTTAATTGAAAAAAACATTGTGTCTGAATTGAGTTGCCTGTCACCTATTGCTACAGTGTAATAGAACTGATGTATTTGTAATGGAACCAATATATGTGAGTGCTTGAGGACGTTTTCCTTCTGGTATGGTTTAATTAATGTTTACCCGAAATTTTTGAATAAAACTCATATATGGTTGAAATGTATATATATGTTTACACTCATGGCGCTTTTATACTTCTGCAGGGATAAATTTTAACCTGATTTGAAGTTCAAAAATATACTTATTGTAGTCACCTAACTTGCATTGTTTGCTTTTAACATTTGTCTTTGGTTATGCATCTATGCTTTTGACTTGAATGGGGAAAGATTTTTGTGCAACTGTTTCACCAATATTTTTGCAGGGACACTTAGTCGGTCTGGATGAACCAGCTTCGGGAGCTGGGCAAGAAACTCTGCTTAAACAAGAGCAAGCAAAAATCACTCGATTCGAGAGACAAGCTGAAGAGTTCCTCAATGCAGTCTTTTATAGAAAAGGTTGGTTTCAGTGAACAGTGACATTTCACACTTGCTGAATGTCTTTTATTCTCTTTAATTTCAATGTCATTTTCAAAGTTATTCTTAAAAATATATTCCTTTTTTGATGATACACTTTTTATGTCTGTATTCCTTTGGTCAAATCAAAATTGGAATAAGTTTAAGGTAACCCCTGTGCCCACTTTAGGCTCTGCCGTGATGGTGAGTTTTAACTAAATAGTTTAGAAAATTATTATGGAATCCTAAAAATGTTAAGGTCTCAGTAGTCCTGTATTTTGTTAGACAAATTTCCTTGTATAGACAGTAACTGTTTTAATCACTGATAACTATAAAAACAACTGTGTACATTTTTATTAGTTCTAACCTGAAATTTCATTTGGAGAGAAAAATGTAGTTGTTTCATAAAATTAGATTTATAAGTGTTGTTTTCTCCTTGATACAGTTTTGCTTATATTATTAAAATTAGGGAAATAATTATTGAGTAATAAAACTTTTACCTTTACAATTAATAGCTCCACCTCCTGCATTTTTAAAATTTATCTTTCTCCTTGAAACTTTTGAAGGCATGTTTTGTATTTGTTTTGAAATACAAAAAATTTCTCCAATCATAAAGTCTTGAGTCCTAGACATTTTTCACAGAGACATTGAGTTCTTTTCTCTGTCCACAAAACATAATTGCCACCAACCAATACCTTCAGGAAACTTCTCTTCATGATCCTTTCTAGTTTTTACTTCTAGGATTTGCACTGTTATACCTTTTCTCTAGTTCCAAGATGATGGTTACTATGATAGGTTCTAAAAAAGTTTCCTGCAAACTTTTGTTAATCTTAAATAATCCGGCAGGCTCAGTGACTCCATTTTCTTTAATATTTCTTCATATGCTCTGCTTTACACATCTGAGTTCCCTCCTTCCCTCTGACTTTAGAAGGATGTATTTGGATACCAGCTGAGCTTGTCCTGAATGTGATCGATGTTTTCAAGAGATTGGTATAAGGTGAAGTGTCATAAAATTAAGCAATGCGCAGATACTGTTGCTCATGATTCTTTTCGGCTTCTGCCATTAGCTCCTGGGGCAAAATTAAATAATACACCCTTTTCTTTTAACACGCACTAGCACCTCCTGACCTTAATCTCTCAACTGAGTCTCCCATGTTCATCTTTTTATCCCTGTATAGTGAATTCCAAAATGAGGTTCAAAATAATCATTTTCTTCACTCTATGAACATTTGATTCATGTTGAATGCGTCAATGACTGGTAGATCAGTTCTGACAGTGTATTAACCAAATAAGTATCTTTACACTTCTTTCCTGTAGGATGTCTGCAGGGTCATTGTTCTGCCGTGTTGCTAAGCAAGGTTCATTATCTGAAAAGAGGCACTCTTCTCCCTAATTTACCCAAGGAACTACTTTCCATCTACTCTTTGTTTAGGGACATTAATGAGGTCAACCATAAGGTGATTCCTGCAGAGAAATTCTCTCCCACCTCTACTAGTCTCATCCTTTTGCAACAGAGGAATAGCTTTACCTTAAAGTTTTTAATAAGTTTTTATGTTTAGAAAGGAAACTTTTGGGCACATAACTTTACAGGAGGAATTTTTACCTTGGAGCCAATCTCAGGGTAGATTTCAAGAGATGGGGATCCTCTGAAATTGTAAGTTAAGTTTGTGTATTTGTTTATGGACTGGCATGTGATGCTCAGAAAAAGAATTGGAATTGGAAGTTTCCTTCCTCTTGCTTTATCATTAATATTGTTAGTTTTGGATATTTTCTTAATGCTCTTGGTGGAATTGTCTTAGAGGTGGGCATTAGTACTCTTCAAATTAATACCAAAAATGTTTCATATCCAGCAATATGATAGGAACTTTATAAATAATTTCAGATGCTTGGATTTAGTCTTTCGTTTCCCAGTATTGCAACTTGTATTTTTAGAATAATTCTTTTCAGCTTGCTTTGTCACTTGTGTTAAAAAAAATTGACATTTGGCTAAAAGTTAGGTTTGTATTTAAAAATACAAAGATGAATGTGATGTAATGTTTGTTTTTCTGAAGTTTTGTTTTGATCTGATTTGTTGCTTTTGATTTTATTATATATGTTCCAGTGGGCATGGATATGTTTATACATGTGTGGGGTTATTTTGTTTTTGTTTTTGAGTTGGGGTCTCACTCTGTCACCCAGGCTGGCGAGGATGGCTCACCATAACCTTGACCTCTGTGCTCAGGCAGTCATTCCACCTCAGCCTCCCAGGTAGCTGGGACTGCAGGTGCACACCACCATACCTGGCTAATTTAAAAAATTTCTTTTCATAGAGATGGGGTACTGCTGTGTTGCCGAGGCTGGTCTCAAACTCCTGGGCTCAAGCAGTCCTCTCGCCTTGGCTTCCCTACATGCTGGGATTGTCTGGCCGATATGTGTTCTAAGTCAGAATGAAATATGTTTAAGAAACTTTCAAAAGATACAGAAATTTAAGTGGCAGAGATGTCATGCATAAATGTTGACTATCTTTTGTTGCATGATTGTATTACTCATTTAACAAAAAGACAACATATGTTGCAGACGTGTAAAGCTCAAATATAATGGTTTCCAGTCTTACCCTAAAATCTATGACTCGTCACAAAGCTCTTTGATTCTGTTTATTTTTTAATACTACTTAAAGATATCTCATAAATTTTATTTTGCTTTTTTTATGAAAATTTTTCTCTTTATGTATTACATATTCTCTATCTTTTCAAGAGGAAAAGGCACACTAGTATATTAAAACTTTAAATTGTATATAGTAGTTCATATGGAGATTGTATGCTATGTATAGGGAAAATTGATCTTAATTTTAGAGTTAAATGACTATTCATAAGAAACTCCAGTTGGTAGAGATGCTTAAAAGTCAGTGTGTGGCTAAAGTAATTAAAACATTTGATGAACCATCGTCAGTAATTGTAGCAACTTCTGAACCGTACCTAATTGAATACCTTTATTGCTAAGCCATCTGGAATACTCATAGTCTCTATTTATAGAGATGAATCTTAGGTTTATAAATACTTCTAGTATGACATGGACATCATTCTTGGTAGAGCAAGCCTCATTAAGCTCTAGAGAATTCAACATTGTAACTTTATGAGCATCTTCTGGTACTGAATACTTACTGTCCTTCAGGAAAAAAATGACCTTTTCTTAGGAGTCCTGTGAGGGTTGATGATGTATTTGTTTGTTTGGGAGATTTTAGATTTTAGCAATGAGTTCGTTTTTCTTTAACTTTATGAATTAACCTCTCAGGTTCCTTACAGCTCCAAAATACTGTGGGTAAAGTTATTTGCCTTCTGTAGCTATTCATGGAAAGACCAAGAAAACAAAGATTTTCTGAGAACTAAAGCCTCAGCAGTATGGTAGGGAGTAGAGGGTTACAGGTCAGACAGTAAGATTGGGAGGAGATTTCATCAAGGGTCTATCACTGATCTGTACTAATTGGTAGAGGCCACTTATTCTTTGGATTACATTTCCCTTGTTTGCTTTTTTAGAAAAGGACTATATTCATGGTGATTGCTTTGATCCATTTATTGCTTGAATGCACACTTTACACCGGGAAAATTGGGTATATAGAGGTAAACAATCACAATTTCTGCTCCCAAGAAGCTTATTCTTCTTACTGACTATCACAGTGTGGTAATAATAGAAATGTGATGACAATGCATTTACACAAGTCATTTTCCCTTTTATCTTAACCTCATTTGACCTTCAAGTCTCTTCCAGGCTGAAAGTTCTGAGTTAATGAGTTTATATAGTCCAAACTTAGCATTGACTAGAAATTGATAATTAGATTTATTTCATTATGTTTCTAGCTATTGTGTTAACAGTTTAGCAGTGTGTATTTCAATAACTCATGGAAATATGTGGTCTTTGTTAGGCTTTTGAGATTTGGCACTTAAATTTCTAGTTGAGGGGCTCTAAAATTGTAGTCCCTAGTTTAGCAGCATCTAGGATCTTGTTAGAATGCCAGTTCTTAAGCCCACCTGAGACCTACCAAATTAGAAACTCTGGAGATAGAATCCAGTAATCTGTTTTTACAAGCCATCAAAGTGATTCTGATGAATGTTAAAGTGTGAAAACTGTTGCCCTACCCTATCGGGGAGCTTAAAATTATCTCCTTTTATAATCTTACTGTGCCTTCAGTCTTTAATAGGAAGTAAATTAAGCCCTTATGAACTCAGTGACCCTTTCTTCATAAATTTAGGAAGAGATGACTGTGGAAAAATCTAGGGGAAATTTGATGTGATCTATAGGCATTAACGGGGAGTGATTATTTCATAAGAAAAGGGTTTTGGGATTTCTGTATCAGGTAAGTGATTCTTGCCCGTAAGATATACTATTTCTAATCCCTTTATTTAATTTCATAATGGGGGGGGTGTTTAGAAATATTTTAATGAAAAATGTTCTTTTTAAAAATCTGCAACTCTCAAACGCTTAGAAATTAAAAATATAAGTCAAATGAGGAATAGTACTTTTAAGATACTGCATTTATTTTAAGAAAAATAGATGAAAGTTTATGTTTACTTGAAAGCTGTCTTTTTTAGTACATTATCCCACTTTAAAAGTAAATAAATCTTTATTTACAGACAGTCCCTGGGTCTCCGACCCCAATATTCCCCTAGTGGCCCGTGAGATCATGCAGCGAATGATCCAACAATTTGCTGCTGAATATACCTCAAAAAATAGCTCTACTCAGGACCCCAGCCAGCCCAATAGCACAAAGAACCAAAGCCTGCCGAAAGCATCTCCAGTCACCACCTCTCCCACGGCTGCAACTACACAGAACCCTGTGCTCAGCAAGCTTCTCATGGCTGACCAAGACTCACCTCTGGACCTTACTGTCAGAAAGTCTCAGTCAGAACCTAGCGAACAAGGTATGGTTTGATTGTCAAGATCTCCTCTGTCCTATCAGAATACTTGAATTTGGGGAGAAAACAAGTTTTAGCCAGTAGAGCAACAGCATCAACAGCAACAGGCTCAGAACTGATATGATGCTTAAATTACTTCTGACTATGCAGTGATGGAGAAGGACATGTAAAGTTGTAGAAACCTAACCCATCAGCAGTGCGTAGTCCTAGTTGATGTACCACCCAGGAAAGTCAGCTGGTTACCGTTGCCACTGATCTTTAAGTTGTTGATATTTGTATAAGCATTCAAGACTTTCCAAAGCATTGTTATGTTTCTTTTAAGTCCTACGAAAAATGTAAATTTTTCCCCTTGCCCATCAATATTCTAGAACTAGTGACTATCTGAGAAATACGTTTTTACTTATTAGGTATTAGTTATGTGCTCTGCAAATGAGATCATAGGGAAAATGTCTTATTTACTATTTTGAAAAATAGCTAAGGATAGAAATAGAGACAACAGTAGAACACACTTCAGATCATTAAGTGTATTCAGGTCATTCAGTGTTTTATAAATACAGAAACATATACATATATACAGGCCTACATCTACTGTATTATGAACTGACTTTAAAGTATTTCCAAAAGAGAATTTGTTGATGAGGACTTCAGTTAATTGGTTAAGAGGGTATCAGTTTGGTTTAGCAAATGTTTCTTGAGTTCCAAAATGTTTACTATCTTCAGTAGATTAAATATTCCTGTTGCTTTGTGATCTCATTTTACCTTTAATTTCACAAAGATTGAAGTGAGCATTTCAACTCAGCCATTGTTTGGACCACTACAAATTATACATCAGTCATGTCTGTACTAATGAGATTTTATTGTCATAGAAATCTCAGTATGCAGAAAAATTATGAGACGTGTGGATTTATTGTGAGAAACATGAGGGGGACCCGCAAAACCCCAGAATTTGTTTATAAAAAACTGTGTATTTGTTCTTAATGTTTAAACTGCAGTCACCTTCAAAGTCCTCTCCACATGATGCAATACACCCATGGAGACGCTTTTTCCACTGCTCAAAACAGTTTTTGAACTTGTCCATGTTGATGCCTTTTAGTGCTTCTGCCATTTTTTTGTTTCACCTCTTCAACATCGGCAAAACGTTTCCCTTGGAGGACTTTTCATCAGGGAAACAAAAGGAAGTTGCTTGGGTTGAGATCAAGTGAATAGGGAGGGTGGGGCACAAACTGCTGAACACTCAGCGCAGCATGGGCAGGTGTGTTGTCATGATGGAAGAACCAGCCTCCTGTTTGCCACAACTCAGGATATTTCTTCAAATTGTTACACAACTTTCTCAAAACTTCCAGGTAAAAACTTTGATTGGCCATTTGAGCCAGAGAAACAAATTACGAATGTACCCCAAGGGGCCCTTCTTCCAGAAGAGAATTTCAGTTTCTTAGGCCCCCCCCATACATATTTATTTTGGAAAAAACATTTCATTCTTAAAAGAATTTATTTGAAAGGACTGTCTCTTGAGTAGAGTTTCTTTGCTTTTTCCCCTTTTTCTCTGTGGTGAACAGCAAACAAAACATCTTAAGTTCTGTGAGATTTCCTGACCAGAGACTTCCTAGTTGTCTTGTATACACATTAATCATGTACCCTTGGTTACCATATTTGAAAAATTGTACCTTTTTTACTTTACTGACAGTTATTTTCTTTACCACAAATGGGTAGTATTAATTAAAGATTTCTTTGCTCTAAATATTCCTTCAAAAGCTTCAGGTTCACGTTAAGAGAATAGGCAACTTAGAAGTATAATTAAAGTAGTAATAATGGAGATTAACATAAAATGATACCACGTTGTCTAATTTAAGTGTTACACACCTAAGAGAGATGTGTTCACAGCATGCTCTTACCAAGAGAAGTTTGAACTACATGACAGCATCACAGTGTGTATACTTCACATGAAGCAAAAATTTTTATAGTATATTTTCTTAATGAAATTTAATATTTTTAGCCTGAATCACATTATTTTTAGTGGCAGACTTAAAATATGTTGCCTATCTGATTCGACAATCAAATATCTATTTGACTTAGAAAACTTTATTAATACTATCTTTGGTTGAAAATATTTTAAGCCTTACATTTTGCTTGTTAGATGTCTAACAGAATACTTGGTTCTATAAGGTTACAGTTACATGTTTAGAAATATGAGTGACTCCAAAGGACAAAATTCTTTCTGTGTGAATGTAGACTATTTTGTTTATAAACTGGCCCGAAATAGAGAGTTAAATTGTTCTTAGACACAAGTTGAAGGTAGGCTGTATCCTGGGGTAATTTTAACATAACTAGGTAACAAGGCCTTTCTGCTGGCCAACTGAAAGTCAGAGGCATTGCATATTATCTCATTCTGTTCATTTTGGACAGCAAGTTGTCTAGACTGTAGTTCCAGCTGCTTGGAAGGCTGAGGTGGAAGGACCACCAGGTTGAGGCTGTGGTGGCTGTGAGCATGCCACTGCACTCCAGCCTCGGTGATAGCGTGTTTAAAAAAAAAAGGGAAGATGGTTGTAGTTCAACTGTCTCATCAGTATCAAGACTGTTTCATTCTTCTTTCCTAAATTTGGCTTACCATTTTAAAATAACTTTCTATTTGGAAAATCCTTGGCTTTATAAATTCCAGGAATTGCATTTTGAATTCTGCAGATTTTTTCTGAAAGATTGAATCCAGGTGTACATTTTTTTTGTTTTTTACAGATGTATCTGGAGAACAATTAGGACATACCCAAATTATAAACCGTTAACTGATTTGTCTTCACATTATCTTGATTGAGATCTACATGTAGTTTAATCATATAAACTTCTGTCTTGTTTTGTTATTTATTTATTTTTTGAGTCGGAGTCTCACTCTGTTGTTCAGGCTGGAGTGCAGTGGCACGCCCACGGCCACTGCAGCTTCGACTCAGGCAGTCCTTTCGCCTCCACCATCTAAAGTGCTGGGATTACAGGCGTGAGCTACCATGCCAGACCTAAACTTGCATTTTGAAGTAACTTGTATTTTACTGAAAACTTTCTACATTTGACTTTTATGTACTTTTGGACTTTCAGGTAATTTAGCTCTTAAGGAATTTGGCTTTATAGTTAGGATGCCATTGTAGGACATGAAATGCTCATATGCTTTGATCAAGGTAAATTTAGAAGATGAAGTCTAAGGATTCTAGTGCAGCCTCTCCCCCTGTGCATACTGCCATTTCTAATATCTCAATGTATCTTACCTTCTGAAACGTATTTTACGTTTTCTTTTGCCTCACCTTAATAAAATATTTGGCCCGTGGCAATATTAGGTATAACATGCTTTGCTAAATTTATCTTGTTTCAGGAGGAAAAATAATCCTGATTCTGTTATTGAATTGGTTTTTAACTCAAATATACGGCAAGCGTATCTGCTTAGTTGACTAAACCTACAGCTTTTTCATTTTTAGCCAGTCTAGTTCCTATTTGCTCCTAGTTTTTTTCTTTTTTCTTTTTTTTTTTTATCTGCGGTGTTTCTTTGTGTCTCTGCAGACGGTGTCCTTGATCTGTCCACTAAGAAAAGCCCATGTGCTGGCGGCACGTCCCTGAGCCACTCTCCAGGCTGCTCCAGTGCTCAAGGGAACGGGTAAGGGAAAATATCTGTAGCCTTCCACAGTTTTTCATAGATAATTTATCACAAGTTGATGCCTGTACCCCTTGTGCATTTAAAAAGCAACTCCTTCAGAGGGGCCTTTTGTATGATGACTTTTAGTTCGCTGCTCAAGGGAATTTGCTAGTATAGATTAATTTGCCAGCTTAGTATAAATAGTAAATAATTGTGATTACAGAAAGAATATTTCTTTGGGCTTTTGTTGTCAAGTGTTTTGGAGTGTGCAAATCAAGCTAAATAAATTCTGAAGTTTAGATGGAAAGGCAATATTATATGTGATGAAGCCATTGAATAAAAGTTGAGTTCCAAATTTAACTTGATATCTCCAGTGGGGTTTGTGTGTGTTCTGTTCGTTTTTGTTTATTTGGTTTCGTTTGTTTTTGATTTCGGTGGCCGATTTGAACTGCGACATGTAATTTTGTGTCACAGTTCAGAAAATATAATTGTATGTATTTTTTTGTTCTTTAATAGATAAGACTGGTTGTAGATGTTGATGGGTATCATCTTAATGCTGTCAAGGCATTATTACATGCTCAGTTTTGATAACTCTTAGCAGAGTAAAGTGAACTCTCTAGGTACCTAATTTTATAGTATAAGAAATGTCTAATTCTCCCTATGTGTATCTAGTAACGATTTAGAAAAACTAGTTATTAATGAAGTTATTTAGACACCATATTGAAAAGACATTTCCATAAAGCTGTGTTGTGACAGAAAAATCAATATTTATCTAGATATGAAAAATAACTGGTAAGTTTAGTTAATATTTAGACTTATTTACTTTTCAGCTTATCAATGTGGGAAAGTTATGTAGATAATAAAGGAACAAGTGGATGCTAAGTGGATTAACATTTTCCATCTTACTCTCATTTACCTTCAAATTGAAGGATTCCTTTACTGGCTTCTAAAATGTTCCATTTATTTTCTCTAAAATTCCATTATTTTTCTTTTTTCCCCTCCTTTGGTCAGTCTCAAGGTCACCATTTAATCCATTTTGCATAGTTTACTCCTCCTTTTTTTCCTTAAATCTTTCTTTTCACTCCGGTTTATACTAGACACAAGTCTGTAGGGTCCCAAGTCATTGGGTTTTACTTACATATTTTTAAAAACACATCTGAGAGGTGTAATTAAGGACACATGTAGGAGAAGCCCACGTGCAGTGTTTATAAGATTCATCTTAAACTTGGCTACCAGGTTCATGTATTTATATGACTGAATTGCTGTGAATGCTCTGAATGGAAAGTGTTTTCTACTTGGATTTGTTTGATGGAAGACAAATACACCAACCTTACTGCCCAGCTCTTAGTTGAATATTCAGTGTTAATCTTAATTGTGCTACTAATGACCATAGTTTTTAGAGTTTTGAGAGAACATAGCTAGTTTGTCATTTCTACTAAGCTCCGTTTTTGTGCCTAGTTAACGTAAGCATTCCCCATGGACATGTTTTCCAGATGTCAGTCTTAATATTTGTGATCTTTGTCTATGGTGAAAGTCAAAACCTTTTGAATTAGACCAGGTGCGGTGGCTCACACCTATGATCCTAGCACTTTGGGAGACCAAGACGAGAGAATTGCTTGAGGTCAAGAACTCAAGAACAGCCTAGACAGCATAGACAGACCTTGTCTCTTCAAAAGAATTTAAAAATTAGCCAGGCATGATGGTTCGCTTCTGTAGTCCCAGCTACTTGGGAGGCTGAGGCGGAAGAGTCGCCTGAGCCCAGGAAATTGAGGCTGCAGTGAGCATGACTGTGCCACTGTACTCCAGCCTGGGTGACAAAGTGAGCTTCCAGCTAAAACAACAACAACAATAATAATAAACCTTATGCATTAACTTTGTGTAAATAGTTGCCTTTTTAAACACTATTTGAAAACTGTCCCCTTGAGAATTCAAAATAGATATTTGGTATTTCAAGAAGAGAAGTTTTTTTAGCTAAGGAAAACTGCTGCAGAATTGTTTATATACCTCTGACAATAATTACTTTGAGTAGACGTTAACAAGCCAAGTTTGGGGAAAATAAAGGGCAATTTCGTTTAAGCTTGGATTATTTCAAATGGAGAGTCATGATACTCACGTATCTGCAACTATTAGTGTTTTAAAATGAAAAAAGTGGTAAGTTATAATGCAGTGAGTCTTTTGATGTGTTTTGTTTTGCCCCCCCTCCTTGGGGATGGCGGTCATACATATATATAAATTCTCCCCCAAGCAAAATAAGAAACATGATTTGGAATCGTTTGATTTTTGATGACGAACATCCACTTGTGTGTGGGATAAATGAGCAGTTTTCTGTGGGTTCCACCAGTGTAAATTTGGTTCCAGTTTTAGCTAGTTGTCATGAATGCTGAATACATTACATTAAAATAAGTGATTTGGCTTACTCTTTTATTACTGTACTTGTTTAGTGGTAACGTCACATTGGTAACACAAGTCTGTATAGATCTATGGAGACTGATGATTACTTTGTAATTAATAATTAAGATGCTATTTTCAGACAGTTGCGCGAAACTTTTTCTCCGAAAATTTGTGAACCCAGCCAGAGACCAGCTGACAGGTTTAATTTTTCTTTGCCCAAAAAGCTCCTGATTTTTTTCTTTTTCCTTTTTCTTTTTTTGTGAACGAGATTTAAAACTAACTGCCGAGACCATTTTTTTTAATTTTAGAGAAAAATAAATAAATAACACAAAGTGATGTTACCCAAGCAAGGCCTTCTAATAAAGGAGTGGTCCCCTCACCCATCCCTCCCTACCTGTGCAAGTCCTGCTCACATCAGTTTCCTTCCATCCAATTAGGCGACCTGGGAGACCCAGCCAGTACCGCCCAGACGGACTTCGGAGTGGTGATGGGGTACCTCCAAGAAGCTTACAGGATGGAACCAGGGAAGGTTTTGGACACTCCACATCACTCAAAGTTCCACTGGCTCGATCCCTGCAGATTAGTGAAGAGCTACTGAGCAGAAACCAGTTGTCTACAGCTGCCAGCCTTGGACCACCTGGATTACAGAATCATGGACAGCACTTAATATTATCCAGGGAAGCCTCTTGGGCAAAACCACATTATGAGTTCAACCTCAGCCGTATGAAGTTCAGAGGAAATGGTGCACTCAGCAACATCAGTGACCTTCCTTTTCTTGCAGAAAACTCTGCCTTTCCAAAAATGGCACTTCAAGCAAAACAAGATGGAAAAAAGGATGTGAGCCATTCATCTCCTGTAGATTTAAAGATACCACAAGTCCGAGGAATGGATCTTTCTTGGGAGTCTCGCACTGGTGATCAGTACAGCTATAGCTCTTTGGTAATGGGTTCACAAACGGAGAGCGCGCTTAGTAAAAAATTAAGGGCTATTCTTCCAAAACAAAGTAGAAAAAGCATGTTAGATGCTGGACCCGATTCTTGGGGCTCAGATGCTGAGCAGTCTACCTCTGGACAGCCATATCCCACGTCGGATCAAGAAGGAGACCCTGGCTCCAAGCAGCCTCGGAAGAAAAGAGGGCGTTACAGACAGTACAACAGTGAGATACTGGAGGAAGCGATCTCAGTGGTTATGAGTGGAAAAATGAGTGTTTCCAAAGCTCAGAGTATTTACGGGATTCCCCACAGTACACTGGAGTACAAAGTAAAGGAGAGGCTGGGCACTTTGAAAAACCCTCCAAAGAAAAAGATGAAATTAATGAGGTCGGAGGGGCCAGATGTTTCTGTAAAGATTGAATTAGATCCCCAGGGAGAGGCAGCACAAAGTGCAAATGAATCAAAAAGCGAGTAGGATACTGTAGAGTGCCAATTACTGTACAAACTGGGTGAGCACTACTGCATCATTGTCAGCTGTCATGGCTCGCACCTGTCTTCATTTCCTGTGACACTTGTTTCTCTGCAGGTTTTGCATTGACTTGTGTGTGCAGAGGTGAACGGTGCATTCTGAATGTCGCGTATCTACAGATTCCCATGTGCAGTATGGCTCGGATATTGTTTGGCCTTTTGCATGTTTCTCTACAAAAGAGAATTGAGTTACCTCACAGAGAACAGATACATGGAAGTGACTCCTTGCCTGTAGAGCCTGCATGCTTTTCTTTCCTTTTGTTTTTTCTTAAGTTATATTTGTTTTTACTTTCCAAAAAGAAGAGGAAAAAAAGCCCCCTTTTAGAAACCCACCTCTGCCATATTGGGAGCTTTATCATTGCAAATTGGAAAACCTTCTTACAATACAAAATTATTCACATTGTCTTCTATAATTCAGCTAATTGAAGGAATAAAACTAAAGGAAAAGCTAAGAAGAACAGTGAACCTTTGAATTTGAGAAATTTGGTTATTCGGTGGTATAATTAATTATTGGGTCACTTACAGTTAAGTTTTATAATTTTCCATTAAGTTTACTTACAGGTTAATTAGCAAGCTACTTAGTGCTCACCCAGAGGGGAAAGAGGTGGAAAATGTGCACACACTACCTTCAGAGATGCTTCAGTTAATTACTTTGAACACTACCTTTGCTGTCGTTTCATTTGAGCTTTTCTCAGCGTAGAGTTCGGTCTCACCAACAAGTGAGGACATAGCCTTATCTCATGGAGGACAAGCTCCGCTCCTGCTCAGGAGCAGTCAGGGTACATTTCCTAAAACAACAGAGGATGCCTCATCTTAGCAAACTAGGTTTCTTTGTATTCTTCAATCCTTTTACAGAATTGATCTTGTGCTAACTGATGACTGAACATCACTGCAGCAACTAGTTTAAGACAGTCACGTTCTGTTTATTGGGGTGGGAGAATTAGGAAAAGAAATGTGCATAAATGCATATGATATTGCAACGGTGAAACTTCAGTTTTAAAGCCTTAGTAGTCTGCCCTGTCCACATGAACAAGCCTGATGTGCTTTAGGCGACGTATTACTTCTGTCACTGTAATTCAGCCAGAAGTCAAGCTCACTGGAGTTTCTTTTGTAACTAATCCAAGTACTAGTACAAGGATGGGAGGGTGGCTTTTAAAATTTTTATTTAATTTTATTGGTTCGACCTTTTTTTTCTTTTTTTGGCATCCTACATAATAACCCCTTCTTAGCTTTTTCTAATACTTAGCTGATATCCATGGTTGTTTAGCACACAGTTTAGAAACTTCCAGATCATGTTTGTATAAGCACTCCTGAACGAACATCTAAGCTTTTTTAGAGGTGGGCTTTTAAAATTACAGCAATTAGATTTGGAAAGTTTGTTTTCTACCATTTTTGCAAGAATAACTGATAAGTAAAGCCCGTGGACTTTAATTTTGCATTGTGACCAGATTACAAATACTATTTGTCAAAACAGAATCCACATCACATATACCTTATAGTCTCTTCTGCTGAGAAAGGTGGTCAGTCAGCCCCTTCTAAATGCTTAACCAAAAACAAACATCAGTGGCGTTTCAGTGTAAAATGAAATCGAACCTGGAGCATTGGTTAGATTGAGGTTGATGATTGCAGGTGGATACTAACAGTTTGAGAAGTAGTTCCAGATCTTCTCAAGGCATAAGTTCTTGCCTGGAAACTTTTGAGCAACTAATTAAATTAGGTTAAGGATGGTTTTTCCTCAGCAACCTATGTGTTCAAAGGTTAGGCACACCATTGCTGTTATTAAAGTACACGCACTGCTCATTCTTGACATAGCCTGGGTGTGGGCTCCTCTTGGTTTGGTTATTCTTTTTTGTAGCTGTTTAGTCAGTGGATGACTGAGCCTGTTTCCTCTTTGCTTTCTAGTCTTTGCAACAGAAGAAGCAGTTTGGGTTTAGTAGTGTTTTATGACTCTGCAGTATTTTCTTGCCTAGCTGGAAGTTGCAATAAAAATACATTCTGAAATGTGTGGTTTTCATCTGCAGTTGAAGGAAGTTGTGGAAAGTTTGCTGAAAGCAAAGGGCTAAGCTTATGAAGGAACGCCTCCTTTGTTCCACACTCAAGAATTGTCAGCACACAATTAATTGCAGCCACGGTGCCTTTTTGCATAATGTTTGGGGTATTCCATAGCCCAGGATTGCTGCAAAAAGGTCCTCTGAGAAATTAATTTGTGCTTGCTTTTTTTCCCTCTCCGAAAGATATCACTAAAGGCCCATTTAAAAACCTGGCCCTAAAAGTTCAACTTGTAGAGTTTACTGTTCAGAGAGGTTTAATCCTATGTGGTAGTCTATAAAGTGATGTATGAGTTGAGTTATGTAAATTTTGTCATTGTAGTATTCATGGAGTGATCATTTGACTAACAGAAATATTTTCTATATGTGTTTCAGTGGATGACAATCGAGCAGCAGAAGAATGGTGTGCCTACCCTTTAATGCTGCAGTTTAAATAAGAGAACTTGTATCGTGTCATTTCAGATTGTAGGCTGAGAGTTGTAAATAGTGAAAACTGGAGTACTTCTATTATTGTTTTGGTTAGAAAGTGAATTTTAAAAAACAAACCAAACTCTAAACTTTCTCAGATTAAAAGTCCTGAGACCTGAAGATTGTAATATTCATGTCTGTGAAGCTTTTAAACATTACACTTGAGATCAGTCATGACTTGCTATTCAGGTAAATTTCCTTTTCCAAGGAGCTTTTGAGTAAGCATATTTCCTCCAAAGGTCTCTCTCTCTCTCTCTCTCTCTCTCTCTCTCTCTCTCTCTCTCTCTCTCTCTCTCTCTCTCTCTTTCTCGTTTTTTGAGTGTAGATTATTTTAAAGCACTAATTGCATTACTTTGGTAACTGCAATATAAAATAGCCATTATTGTTTTGTGAAGCATGGTTGAAATTAGATAGTGGTCCCTTTTAAATTTCATGAGCCTCTCAAAAAAGAAAAACTTAAAAAAAAAACAGAAAGCTGCTGAATATTTCAAAAGATATATATTTTACCTTATTGTAGGTTTTGTAAAGTTAGTTTGTAATATTCAGGTGCACTTTTAATGTTAACTTTTGTGTTCAGAGTTCCATTATACCATGTATTGCTTGGAGGTGGCTCAGCACATGGCCGACTGTCAGTCTTGGTGCCGCAGTGGTTCCTTAATATTTGATTTCTCTCTTAATTTGCCACTATTCTATATGGGCACTTTCAGTGTAGATATTCTAGTTCGGGGGCATCCTCATCAATGGGTAATAGCGACTGGTCTGTTCGCATCTTAATTTCTGCTTTTCAGAGTTTCGCATGGCCCAAGCAACAGTTGACCATTTTTGTGGTATGGGGAAGTATAGTTCACAACTGTCTTCGTCACAAAAGCCTTTTTCCCCCTCACATCTTCCAGTAGGCAGAAGATAACATTGCTTAAATTGTACAACATTCTTGGAACTGTTGATAGGAAACTGTGTTTAAAGTAAATTTTTGTGTTTTCAGAGAGAACATGGATATTATAGAGTAGACAAGCTATGGCACTCTAGAATCAAAGACACTAAGTAACTCTGGAAGGATCCTGAGTGGGTATTCCTATATTTTGCTTTCTCCCTTCTCAGTCAGTAGGCATCAGGCTTGACAGTAATGTAGTATATTCTATTACTTGGTTCAGTAGGCTTACAAGTGACTCTGAATTATGACTGTGATGAGCTAAACACTTTTTTCTGTTCCCCAAATACCATGAAGGACAAGGTCTCTCTTTCAGGAAGAATAATTTATATTTGTGTATAATACTTTTGAATACTAAGTTTGTTGTTACTCTGAATTTTAGATGTTGCTTGATAAACTTTTGCTGCGGCAGTTCATGAATATGAGTAAGGCTTTGTGTGATACTAGGGGTCCTTATGTGAAGTTACTTAACTGTTCAGTTCTGGTGAGCAAGCTCGACAAGTGTGAAGTGTGTGTTAGCTTTATTTGGTACACTTTTCCTTTACAATATTAAAGTGCTTTGAGAACTCTGGTTATCTTATAGAAACCATTACCTCAACCAATTGGCATTTGTTTTCCCCCACATTTTACCTTAGCTGTACTATGAGCTATGTGGGATCTGATGGTGGAAAAATAAAAGGCACAATGAGAAGTGTAGTCCCCACATTTCTGGAGAGAACTCTAAATTAGACTAAAAATGACTACCTGTTAAGGCCCTTATCATAACTACCTTCTGTCGTCAGGCAGTGCAAAGCAGCCTCTGAGCTGCTGGTGAGCAGTGTGTGTCCCCCTGCCCCCAGTAAGCACACGGTGCCAGGCCTGGTTCCAAGCCTTTGTGATTCTCTTACGTCTCTTTGGCCCATCATAGTGAAGCTTGGATTCATTTAGTTATTTTCATAAAACAGATTAAGTCAGCTCACTGTCAAAACCTGAAAATACTTTGAGTGATTACAGCAGATGCATGACAGATTGGTATCATTTTCTTTCACAGCTTTTTTTCTTGTGGATTTCATTTTGAAACCACGTATTTTTGCTTTTATAGTTCTTCCTTCTGTAACTAAATGCCAGAGGTTGTTTTCATATGAACCACTCTTTTCTCTGTATTCAGGTTGCTGTCATTGGTGATAGAATTTGGCAATTGACCGAATTGCTCCTCTTGATGTTTTATAGGTGATATTGGCAGTTGTAGGCTAAATTTCGGCCTTCCTAAAGATATCCAAGATTGTTTTCCTTGTTACCTTTTCACTAGAATTAGGTCTTTGTTAACACTTCCATCAGGCCAGTAGTATTAAAAACTTGATGACTTCAGCAAAACAGCCCATTTAGGAGACTGTCTAGCTACATAGGGATTTTTTAAAAAATCTAATTGCTTTAAAAAATCTACTGAAAAGGAAAAAAGTGTAATTGTGGTACAAGGAATACAGACCTCCAGACTTTCTTGTTTGTTTGTTTTGGATTAATTCTGTCCTGGAGACTTGAATAGGATTTGTGAACATGCTGACTAAAAGGAAAATGGAGGAAATTCTCTGTGTATCCTCTGTTACTCACATATAATCTTGCAGTCACCTCTTAAAGCAGACTTTAGCCCTGTAGCATAACACTAGCTATATGCCCTAAGTGTTAAGGAAGGGGTGGGGCAGGAGGAGTAGGATTGGCAAGTATGTAGACTTTTGAGAAGAGGCTAAAGATTCTGCCCTATAGTACTAAAAGTGAGTCGAAAGATGGATAATGTGGTAAAGTTGGGCCATCTTTATTGAATAGAAAAATCGTTCAGATTGCTTGAAAATAAAGAGTCGAGGCTAATTAATGTTGATTTGACAATAAAACATGAGTTAATTTTGCAACTATTTGGGGGGTAATTTTAAGGTTTCCAGTTCATTTAGAGCTGTATCAATAAAAGCTGGAAAGAAGCACTTTTAGTTAATTATAGATTTATTGGATGTAGCAAATATTATAATCATAATATTTA